TTTTCTATTTTCTGCCTTTCTTCAGATTGTGTTTTTTTTTAATGTCTCTATTTCAGTTTTCAACCCTTGCAGTGTTTGCATTGCTTCTTTTAATTTTCTGTTTATCTTTTCATCCGTTTGTTGCCTTTTATGAATTTTTTGGTTTGTTCTTTCTTCCATTTCTTGCATTTTTTGGTTTGCTTTTTGTTCCATTTCTCGCATTTTGTGCTTTGTTTCTTCTTCCATTTCCTGCCTTTTTTGGTTTGTTTCTTCTTCCATTTTTTCATTTTTTGCTTTGTTTTTTCTACCATTTCTTGCATTTTTTGCTTTGTTTCTTCTTCCATTTCCTACCGTTTTTGGTATGTTTCTTCTTCCAATTCTTGCATTTTTGCTTTGTTTTTTCTTCCATTTCTTGCATTTTTTGTTTCATTTCTTCTTCCATTTCCTGCCTTTTTTGGTTTGTTTTTTCTTCCAATTCTTGCATTTTTTGGTTTGTTTTTTCTTCCATTTCTTGCATTTTTTGGTTTGTTTTTTCTTCCATTTCTTTGAGGGATTTTCCTATATCCTCTTTTAAGGCCTCTATCATTTTCATGAAAGTGCTTTTAAGGTCATTCTCTTCTGCTTCGTTCGCATTGGAATGTTGGGGTCTTGCTGGTGTGGAGTCTCTAGAATCTGGCTGTGTCATATTTGTTTTTCTGTTGCTGACTGTGTTTTTGTATTGTCTCTTTCCCGTCTCTTCTTCTAGTGGGTGCAGAAAGAGCCCCTTACTGGTCTGGGGACCAGAGTTCCCTTTTGGTGGGTGCTAGCAAGTCCAATAATCTGGTGGTTCTTCTATTCCTTTTCCAAATGCTGGTCCCGTGGGTGGAGAAGAAGAACAGGAATCTGGGGCGCTTAGCCTCCTACCTGGTCCCCTGGACCCTATGCTGGGTCCTGTTGTACCTGATCCGGAACAGCTACTCCCCTGGACTCCCAGCCTCCTCTCGTTTCCTGGTCTCGTTGGTGGGAGAGAAGATCTGGAGTCTGGGGTGCTTGGCTCCTGCCGGGATTGGGAGCTCTGTGCAGTTCCCAGGCGATCTGCAGGCACTGGAACACAGGCCAGGAAGCCGGCCTGTTTACCTGATGCTGCCGGAGGAACAGCTGCTTCCCTCTAATTTTGTATTTTCTAATAGCATGACTTTGTGTGTGTGTAATGATCCAGTCAATTTAAAGGAAGCTTGGTGTGTTGGAATCCTTTTAGGTTGTAATTATAAATTGCTTTGAAAGGTGAGTCTTAGTAGCAGCCAAAAATCAGGAATTAGAGGAAACACAGATTCAAATCAGTAAGAGAAAAGAAAATAAACAATACTTAGAATGGCCCAGCCAATAACACCAAATCGTGCTTTTATCATTTCATTCTCTTTTAATAAAATCATGTATGTATGTATCTTTATGAAGTAAACATTTGAATAGAGTGGTAACACAACCGTACATGGCTCAATAAGACAGAAAAGAGGATTACATGCTCTTCTATCAGTGTGAAGCAGAAGGGACTTTTATATCTAACCTTTATTTACCTATGAAATTAACCACATGGATGAGGAATATTCAAATTAATTTAGATTTCCTTCTAATGTTGTTATTTATTCTGCCTACTTAATTGAAAATTTTTATATCAAGTATAAATATTGATGCTTTCTAGAATAATATTATGTGTTTTGATCTGTTCTGTGTGTATATTCAAGCTGGATTTTAGCTACTAAAGCAGTTAACGTTTGAAAATATTCATAAATAAAAAATAATAAATTCAGAGACTTACTTTAGTGCCTGACTACGGAACTGAATACTAAGACTGTTAGCCAGCAAAAATAGTAAAATCGTAGTACCATACACATACATTGTCTTTGAAATTCAACAAAGGTAGCTCAATGTAATGCTTGACTTTTTACGTTACTTCAGAAAGCATACAGTGTTGAGAGAAGCTATTTCTTTTGCTAGCCGCTTTGGTTTATCCCCCGCCAGTCACCTGGGCTCTGCCACGCCAGCCTGGTTCTAGAGCCGCATCAGTCCCAAATAAACACACAGGAGGCTATATTCATTATGAAGCTGTTGGCCTTGTTTGTCCCTTACTGGCTAGCTCTGCCTTAAGTAATTACCCCATAATTGTTAATCTAAGTATGTCTCTTACCGGAGAGTAGTTCCCGGCTTCCTACCCCATGCGGTTACATCTCGAACCCTTGTCTTTCTCCTTCCCACAATCCTCCTGGACTCCTAGTCCCTCCTATCTAGATTCCCTATTGGCCAGACAGTCTTTATTGACAAATAACAGGCAAATAACAGCACTTCCCCAACATCTCCTCTTTTTTGTTTAAACAAAAAGAAAGGTCTTAACTTTAACATAGTCAAATTATATACAACAGAACAGTTATCAAGTAAGAATACAGTTACAATATTTTGTCTATCAACATTCAGCAAGATTTAAAGAAAATATCATCTATCTCATTCTTGTGAGTCCAAAGTCCTATATGTAGCTTATCTTTTATCATAACTAAGGAAAACTATAATTATAACTATCTGTCTTCAACTCCATCAAAGACCACAGAAGAATAATATAAAAACACTAGGATTGACAAAGATATCTTACTGCCTGGACAGTCACCCGAAGTTTCTCTGTAATGTTGGGGCATCCATCTTCAGCCCATAGGCCACAATGTGTCTGGAACACTTCTCAGCAAAGCAGGAAATTTCAAACTGTCCATCTGCGTTGGCAGTCTGTCAGTCATTTTTCTTTGTCCTGCAGAAAGTCTCGTAGACTCTTCATGAAGCAGGAACCCTGTAAGACTGAGTTCAGTAGTCACTTTCCTGTAGGTCCTGCATGTCCAGATGATACAACAACAGTCAAACAATCTAGGCAAGAGCAGTTTCTTGCCCAAATGGCTAATCTTGCCATGTTGAAAGCAAACTTTATAATGAGTTTCTTCGATGCCCATCTTCCTCTCAGACGTAATTGGTGCTGCCAGGAGCAGACATTGTCAAGAAAAACCCTAAACCATTTTAAATGCCATGTTCTGAAGGTCTTTGAGAGGTTTGAAGACTGTCCATCTCAAATATATTTCTGTATATCTAGAAAACCTAACTTATGTAACTATAAATTCTATTATAAGTAACTATCTATAGTCTGTATTCAATTATGCATTACGTTGTAAAAGATCAGTATAAGCACAATACTTAATCAAGAGGAGAAATATACACATCACAAAATTGACCTTGATTTTGTCTCAATAAATGAAAAACAATACCCATACCATAATTCCCCTTTTTACCATTAAAAAAGATTGGCTGTGATCACTAGCCAATTATAAACAATCCCATTTAAATGAAAACAAAGATTTATAACCAAGATGGGAATTGGGACGTCGCTCATTCCAAACTGCTTCCTGCTGGAAGGGGGCGCTGTTTATACCATGGGGATCATGACAAAACTCAGAAACCTGTATAAGTCCATATTTTCGGGGTCTGTAAGACTGCATCATCTTCGCTGTTTTGATTGTTGGAACACCTGGTCCACTGCTTCCGGGGGTCTTGGTTCGTCAAACCACAAAAGCCTGGAAGGAATCCTTAGCTTTTCATTTTCTGTAGAAACATAAATAAAAACTCCTTTTCCGAGTAACATATCCTTATGCTTAAATTTTGAAGTCAAGGTATTTTCAAAAGATATAAGTTGTATTAATTTAGCAGCATTTATAATCAAGTGTACTTTAGTAGCAGTTCCTTCCTGAGCAAGCAAAAAACTGAAAAACACAATAGCGTACAGTATCCAGACTCTCTGTGTATTTTCCATCTTTACGTGGCTTATTTATTTATCTATTATTACTTTATTTATTTTTCTTTGAGACAGGATTTCTCTTTGGAAATCTGCCTGCCTCTGCCTCTGGAGTAAATCCTACCGGCGTGCGCCACCACAACGCTGGCTTTTGTATTTATATACCACTTTGTCGTTTCATTTTCTCTCTCAATCTCACGTATATTTTTGAACACACTGTAAACCTTTAGAGGCTTTCCTTTATCCAAGTCTGACTTTACTGTAAATCTTTATGTTTTTCTGGCCACGTGTCTTATCTGTAAAACCGCGGCTGTTTTAAACTGCCGTTTCAAGATGGCGGGCGTAAGCGTGACTCCAGCTTACCGCCTCAGTCCATGCTGACCTCCAGCAAAAGCTGCCACTTCCAGCTGTACGTACACACCTTTCAATCGTTAGCAGAGTCTCTTAAAACAACCTTGCTGGTTTTTTTTCTTTTTCTTTTTCTTTTTATGCCGAGTCAGGAAGACTCCGGTAAGCGAGCCACGTGAATCTCGGCTTGTCACTAGCAAAACAGAGCCCACCTGAGAAAAATGCTGCTACCAAAATCTATGCTTCTCTCTGTTCTTCTGTTTCTAAAATTCCTTTAAAACTTTTGTTGTTTTGCGTGGAAATTCAATCCCACTTCTGACACCATTCTGTTAAGAGAAGCTATTTCTTTTGCTAGCCGCTTTGGTTTATCCCCCGCCAGTCACCTGGGCTCTGCCACGCCAGCCTGGTTCTAGAGCCGCATCAGTCTCAAATAAACACACAGGAGGCTATATTCATTATGAAGCTGTTGGCCTTGTTTGTCCCTTACTGGCTAGCTCTGCCTTACGTAATTACCCCATAATTGTTAATCTAAGTATGTCTCTTACCGGAGAGTAGTTCCCGGCTTCCTACCCCATGCGGTTACATCTCGAACCCTTGTCTTTCTCCTTCCCACAATCCTCCTGGACTCCTAGTCCCTCCTATCTAGATTCCCTATTGGCCAGACAGTCTTTATTGACAAATAACAGGCAAATAACAGCACTTCCCCAACAATACAGTAGTGGAAAAATAGGGGCTCTTTGGTTTTCATATATGTTTCATTAGTAGCTAAGAACAATTACATGACCCCTGCCTGCCTTAGTTTTTTCACAAGGAAAATGAGGGTAACAGTTACAACTACATAGTTATGCTGAAGTTTGGATCTAATGTATTTTAACATGCCTGGTAGAGTACTTTATACCATCTCCTTGTTGCTTATTTGAAAGTTCAGTCTTTAGGATGCATATCAACTCTTCAAGAAACATTCTTTTTTGTCTTCTTCCAATAATTCTGTACTAATCTTCCTGAAATGATATGAAACAATGGATATCTTCCTAATTTCACAAATAAATTTAAGAGCATGGTATATGAAAGTGGGAACACTATCCTCTGTACCTCTCTAAACAATTTTGAATTGTGCTTGATTTATCCTGTCCTTGAGTATGATATAGAACAAATTATTCTCAACATTCCTAATGCTATGAACCTACACTGTTGTTCATGCTTTGGTGACCCCTAACAATAAAATTATTTGTGTTGCTGCTTCATGACTGCAATTTTGCTGCTGTTTTGGATTATAATGTAAATACGTATGCTTTCTGATGATCTTAAATGATTCCTGTGAAAAGATAGTTTGAGAGTATCTACAAAGATTGCTATTGCTTTGTTTCTTTCTTCTAAATAACTTCACATTCATATTATCTGGTTTCTGTACTTACCAACTAGCTTTTGTTCTCTTTATGAAACTATTTTGAAATTTAGCAACACAGCTTGCCAATTGATCTTCTGATGATCCTTTTTACTAGATATTTACAAATAAATATCATTTATTATTGATGTCTTTGTCAAAATTTTGAAAGAGAAAATTGACTTATGAAAATATTTATATTAATATTAATGTATTGTATCATAGTGGATAAAACAGCTGGACAAGCTATTGTGTTGTTGAAAACTGTTACTGTCAAGAAATACATGTGTCTAAGGAGTAGAGAGATGGTTCAATGGTTAAGAGCATTTGCTGTTTTCCCATAGGAACCAGGTTTGACTGTCAGCATATGCATGGTGGTCCAAAATTATCTGTAATTCTATTGACTGAGTATCTGATGCTCACTTCTGGTCTCTGTGAGCACCAGGCATACATGTGATGTACAGACATATATGTGGGCAAAGACCCATGCAGGTAATTTTTATAAAAGAAATGTGTCTTGTAAATTGTGTTGGTCATCTTCTTTTACTCCTAAAACAATCTTTTATGTTTTTCTTTGTTTTTTTTTTGAGACAGGGTTTCTCTGCATTGTTTTGGAGTCTGTCCTGGAACTTGCTCTGTAGACCAGGCTGGCCTCGAATTCACAAAAGATCCACCTGCCTCTGTTTCTCGAGTGCTGGGATTAAAGGTGTGTGCCACCAACACCCGGCTTAAAAATCTTCTATGTTATTAGTAAATAATTGTATTTTCTTGTTCACTCTCTTAGTAAAAGTCTTATCAGTATATTTCTGGTTTTGTTCTTAGGTTGTATTTTAAAATCTTAAAATATGATTAGAAGATAACTGTATCAGTTTTCATTTGTTGTTTTTTATTTAGGCAAAAATATCCACAGATATAAAAAACTGGTATCTTTTATCACTCAATAGGAGGTAATGGTGTATTTAACTAAGAGCAGTCAGTGGAGGTAGATTATTTAGAACACTCTGCTTCCTGTGTGCCCTCTACCCAATACCTGTGTGTGGATAAAATGTCATTGCCAGTTTCCTGCTCCAGCCACCATGTTGTCTTTCCCACCAGGAGACTCTGTCTTTCTAGAATCATGAGCAAAATTAAACTCTTTTAAAGTTGCTTTGAGTCATGATAGTAATAAAAAATGACTAATACAAATATTAGCATTGAGAGTGGGGTTGTTGCTTTGATGAATGTGCCCATAAAATATTTTTTGTTTTTGTTTTTGTTTCTTTGTTTGCCTGCTTCTTTGTTTTTGTTAAGAGTGTGAGTCTTTGTTCCAAAGTGATTGAATGCTATAAGCATTTATTAATTGGAGCCTAAAAAACAGTAGTGATTAAAATAAAGCAGAGAGTAGAACTTTCCAAGGGGAACAATGATTTTATTAACAACTGGGCTAGAGGCCATTCCTGTGATGTTTGGGCAAGTAGTTTTGTTGCATTCTGCCCATATGCTGAGAACTTGCCTGAGGATGAATTAAAAACTAATGACGCAATTCTTGGGTGGAGAAAATTTTAAAACAGAATAAAGTCAAGTCAGTGACATGATTATTTCTGATTACTACATTATAGAAGTTTAAAATGGGAGATTTTTAAGATGCAAAGAGCACTAGGAAGCTTAATGTTGCAACCAAGATATGTACTAAAAAGGAGGCTACAATTGTTAAGGAGATGAATGCCATTAAAGAAAAGCCTTTGATTCTGTAATAGAAAGAAAGAAATGCGACTTCAGGGCAAGATACCACTCAGATAAAGCTGTAATTTTTAAAAGAAAGTAGCCTAAAGGGTTTCTTGTACCTAAAAAGGATCTTATAAACAAAAGCTGCTGCTAATGTGGTCCAAAGAAGTAAGGGTCTCATCTTAGCCTGGCAGCTAACCTTATAGTGTCATCTACATGGCAATACCTTTGAGAGTATGACAGATACAAGATTGGGGCAGCTTTAGGTTTTCCTGTGGTGGTTTAGGAAAGATGCTAAGGTCAAATAAAGCACAGTAGGGTCAGAATCCTAGGAAAGAGGATTTGAAAGGCCATCGTACAAAGCTGTATAGGTGAAGCCTATGTTGTGATAGAGACCCCAACATGTTGGAGATACCAGAGCCATGAAATGTTTGCCAGAAAGAGCTGTATACAGGCAGTGGAACAAGCACAGAGAAAGTTGTATGTTCCAGGCAGCAAAGAGTGATACCTGACATGGGATACCTGACATGGAACTATATCATTTACTGTTTGTCATTCTAGGTTTCAGTCTTCATTTGGCCCAGTATTTCCTTGCTGTGACCACATTCTTCCCTTTTCGACTGATAATGTAGATTCTATTCTGAAAGTGTGTATACAATTTGCATTTTATTTGTATGGGGAGTTTCATAAAATCTCAGAGAAGACTTTGGAATTATGAACACTGTTGAGAGTTCTAAAAACTATGAGAACTTTTGAAGTTGAACTGAGTACATTCTATGTCATGAGATGGTAGTTGGCATATGGGAACCATGGGGCTAAATGTGATGGTCTTAATGAGAAAGGTCCTTCAGAAGATCATGTATTTGAATACTTGTTACACAGTTAGTGGTATTGTTTTAAGTATTGTTGAGGAGGTGGTGCCTTGCTGGAGGCAGTATATAAATGAGGATCGGCTTTGAGGGTTTATAGCCTTACTTCACTTCCTGAAGTCTCATTTTCTCTTACCAGCATGTAAATATAATGTAATCTGTTCCACTTCCTGACATTGCTTCTATGTTATACATTATCTGACATGAAGACGCTAGCCCTCTGAAAATATAAATTAAAATAAATTCTTCTTAAGTTACTTTTTGCATGGTTTTATATCACAGCAATGGAAAAGTAAACAAGAAGACATTCTATCCAAAGACACACCTTTTTCTAATTATGCTAATAGTCATCCATTTAATTTCTCTCTTCCATTGTTCTGTTTACTACATGGCCTTTCTTTCAAATCTCAAAAAGGTTTCAACTGCAAGTATTATTTACTTTCCATGGAGACAATGTGGAAAAGGCTCAGTGACATCTTTATACTTGGGAAACTAATCTGTACTGAGTCAAAGAATGAAAACTAAATTCTTGCTACATCAAAAACATGATTTATCAGCACACTTTCGTGATCATTAAATTCACCTTCCAAAAATGTCTTTGGATCTATTGCTTCCTATATGTCCTTTATAAGGTAGCAGATGTTATCTTCATGGAACATCAAGCATTAAATTACAAATTATTAAATGTAGTTAAGTGTCCTCTAAAGTAACAGAGTCTGACTTTTCCCAAACTCATCTTTCTCTGACTCTCTTGGCTTCCTAGTTCTCTGGAACAGCCATAATTTTCTACTGAAGAAGAATCCGCACAGAGCCTGGATGACTCCATTTTTCAACCTGGTGAATTTATTCTCTCAATGAGCCAAAGAAATTAGACTGTTATAACTTTCAACCAGTGTAGAGTAGTAATAAAAGTCAAGAAACTTAGTATCGCTGAAATATGTTATCTCCGTGTACTTTGTAAATCATTAGTGATGATTTCAAGTATTCTGGCTCTCTCTTTTACTATGATATACTTTCTTGCCTGCTCTTAAATAAGAATTACCATGTGGTTTGCTTTGGCCAATGAAATGAATTGTTTGTGAAAATGAGACATGATAAAAAGTAATGTGCATGCATGTCAATTCCAGGTGGGAGCTCTGAAAATCAATGTGTAAGTTATTATTCTTTCACTCTTTTGCCTCAATGAAGTTGGGAACACATGCTTAGATAAAGCATAAATAACACTGGAAACATGAATGACTTCAAGTAGCAGAAGCCCCTGCTAAATGGTATCTTTGACATAGACTGAGTCTTTACAATCAAAGTTTTAATGTGGTAGGGCACTGGTTATTTCTGTTTGTTTGTTTTTTAACACACAATAACTTGCTTCTCTTAATAAGTTAATTTATTCATTCCTCAAAATATTTAAAATTTATGGGGAAGATCTCTTGGAAAGTGGGAGTTGTGTACATGATTATTCTAAGAAAAAGGAAGAGGAAGATAGATGAGAAGAGGACCTGAATGGTTTTAGAAGTAAAATGAGCACAATAGTTGAGAAAATATTTATCTGGCTGTCTCAATTTTTTAACAGTGTGTCATATCTAGTGGGGAGAAGCCCTAAACTAATACCAGGTTTTTTCTGAAAGCAAAATGTGTGTGTGTGTGTGTGTGTGTGTGTGTGTGCATTTTACAGGGAGTTCAAAGCTAAATTGGTATAAGTTTGGGTATGGATCTAACCTTTAAGAAGTTGATATATTAAAAAGTATGTGATAATACAAAGTTAAATATAAGAGTCACAAAAGAGTTATCTTTGTAACATGAAGACAAATCATTAGAAAGGAAAGTTCAGAATGACATTGAACTGAATCTATAAAGCATGATCTGAAGAAATAGAGAATGATGCTATAATGTGCAAAAATATCAAAACTAAAATCATAGATTTGAATATTTGAAGTGCATACAGGAATAGCAGATGGTTAAATGTACATAAAGCAGTAGATGTGGAAAATATAAGAGTAGAAAAGGTTGGTTTGGGTCAGATTATGAAAATCTAGTAGGCCTGTAT